CGCACGTGGGTTGGCTACTGTGTCGCAAGCACCCGGAGGTACTCGAAAAGGGCAAAACCATCGACATGAGCGACCTGGACAGGGATCCGCTTATTAAATTTCAGCGCCGTTTCTACATACCATTGGTGGCACTCATTTGGGGCGCATTCCCCACATTCGTGCCCTACTATTTGTGGGGCGAAAGTCTGTGGAACTCCTATTTCCTATGCGTTATGTTTAGGTACGCCCTCATCCTGAACATCACATGGTGTGTGAATAGTGCGGCACATTTGTGGGGCAAAAAGGTACTTTATAATTAGACATTTTAATATTTTATCATAACCATACTAAATTTCGATTCATTACTATAGCCGTACGATAAGTCAATAAATCCAGTCGAGTGTGTGATTCGTCACGTAATGTTTGGCGAGGGATTTCATAACTATCACCATACTTTCCCTTGGTAATATTTAACTAAATTTATAACAATAAATAAATGAAAAACTTTCTCAAAAATTGCACCAAATTTTACATTTGCAATAATATTACAAAACCCAAGTTTATGCAGTTCGAGTACAAACTAATAATTATATAAATTGTAATTAATATCCAGGGATTATTCAGCTAGTGAGCTTGGTGCGTTTGACGTGTTTAACCCTGCTACCATGTTCATCGACTTCTGGGCCTACTTTGGACAGGCATACGATTTGCGAAAAGCGTCCGACGATGTGGTTAAGAGTCGACAGAAACGTAGCGGTGATTTGAATTGGAAAGGGAGCACAAAGGTCTTCGAAATCACCACATGCCTGGCCACTATCGGTCTAATGTACGCCCCATTTATTATTGGGTTTTTATCAAGGAGTGCCGGTATTTATGGTGCTCCCTTATACCATGCTAATTAATTTATCTCAAAAGTTGTTTTTTGTTTTGTGTACTTAACTGTAAACTTATAAATTAATAAAACTATTGAAATAAATAAATTGAGTTAAATGATTTATTAACTTATTAAAGCTTAAAATTTATTTTGAATTTTGTGGCACTAATAACTGATTGGTTAATACAACAAACATTCAATAGAATACTGAATTTACATAATGTTAGTAAGCATAGAAAAATAATCAAGATAATTTTAAATGAAACTAATGATTGCGCTGTCAATACACAGGTTTGCGTCTATGGGTGGAAATGCCGGTACCGAAGAGTTTGGCGAAAGTCTCGCTTATGAACGACTGTCCGCTGAAAGTATTGGTAGTGAAACACCGGACGCCGTGTTTAGGGGACAGTATTCAAGGACCGGATACGAGGAAATGTTTGACGAGTTGTCTGATACACCGGGAATTTCCGACAAACAGGGAATATTTTGGGAGCCAAAGGTCAGCACCGGTACTATTAAATACTTATTAACTGAAAAAAGGTTTTTCTGATGTTTGCTTTTGTGAATATTTCACTTATAAGTTGTAATAAACAATTACAATGATTAAAACTATAGTTAGTAAAATTACATTTGTCGTCAACTATAATACTTGATAATAATCATTTTGTGATTCACATTTAATGTACTTTTGTTTACGTAGGTAAAATATTAGGTTTATTATAAATATCAAAAAGTATTCAAATCTACGTTCACTTTATTTGATTGATTGAGAAAATTATTTTAATTTATAAATTACATACAAAACAGTGATAAACATTTTAAAAGTAAACTTTTTACTTTGTTTGGTATAGGTTCGCTGTAGTGTTACCACAATGTAAGTGATTTAGTTAAGTAATTATAATTTTGTTTTACGAATGTAATATAATTATGACAAATAGGACCCAGTCTACAGCCACTGAGACCGAAACCGGTAATAATAATAATGAAATTGGTTTCAAAAACGGCACAGAAATCGATGCCAAACCAAAACCCGAATACAAACTTGAATTGGTCTGGCGCAATATAATACTGATGACTATAGTACATTTATCAGCTATTTATGGTATATACCGGGGTGTTTTCTACGCCAAACCGATGACCATTTACTTCATGTATCTGTTGGGTCTCCTTTCATCATTTGGTGTTCAGGTATGTCATCAATATGTCTATAAGTATTATATAAAGTCTTATTTAAAATAATTTCTATATTTTAAGCTCATAATTATTTATTATTAAAGATGAATTACATACAGCACAATATTAGTAGTACCAGTATTTGCGGTAAATAATTATATTTTTTGAGTTAAAGTATTGGTTTTAAATAATTACAATTGAAAAAGAGTTTTAAACATTAGGAATATTTTCAACGTTCAAGTTAATATTTAATAATATTATATTATAATAAAGTACATTATTAATGTAACATTAAACTAATTTGTTGTGATTACAATTACTTACGATACAATTTTCAACACTAATTACAAATTAATTTATTTACAATGACATTAAGTGTGGGGCGCATAGGTTGTGGTGCCACCGGACCTATAAGGCCAAACTGCCCCTTCAGATACTGTTGGCATTCATGCATATACTGGCCCTCGAGAACGACATTTACGAGTGGAGTCGCGACCATCATATTAATTATAAAAACCATTAAAGTAAGGAATAAAAGTTATAATTATCATTTAATGTAAGTCTGAAAATTATAATTTTTGATTTATACTTGATAATATAACTTGTTGACGTAAATAATATACTCATTCATTTAGTATAAATATAAAAAAAACTAATGCAAATATACATTTACTTAATTTGTTGATTGGAAATATTTATTTATTTATTTTACACCTTTATAAAGAGATTTCTTAATTTATATATAATATAAAGTCAATTCATATATTGCAGATTTATATCATAGCCATGTAAGTTTAAAAATAAATAAAAATTACTTGTTTTATAATTAAATAACATTAAACTTTAAATTAGGACCCAGTCATTAGCCATTGAAACCCATACCTCTAATAATAATAATGAAATTGGTTTCAAAAATGGCACTGAAATCGATGCCAAACCAAAACCTGAATACAAACTTGAATTGGTCTGGCGCAATGTAATACTTATGATTATAGTGCACCTGTCGGGTCTCTATGGTTTATACCTGGGTATGTTTTTTGCCAAACCGACGACCGTTTATTTCATGTTTTTCGTGGCACTGCTTTCATCATTTGGTATTCAGGTATGATATGTATTTGAACACTATTTGATGCACATTGGATAGAGTTGATTACCGTACAAAAATAATTAGCAATAAATGAATATTTTAAACACCAATACAATTGTTATATTTCCTTAAACAAAATTACAATTGCCGTGAAGTGTGGGGCGCATAGGTTGTGGTGCCACCGGACCTATAAGGCCAAACTGCCCCTTCAGATATTGTTGGCTTTCATGCATATACTGGCCCTCGAGAACGACATTTACGAGTGGAGTCGCGACCATCGCGTGCACCACAAGTACTCCGAGACGGACGCCGACCCACACAACGCCAAAAGGGGTTTCTTTTTCGCGCACGTGGGTTGGCTACTGTGTCGCAAGCACCCGGAGGTACTCGAAAAGGGCAAAACCATAGACATGAGCGACCTGGACAGGGATCCGCTTATTAAATTTCAGCGCCGTTTCTACATACCATTGGTCGCTCTGATATGGGGTGCGTTCCCCACATACGTGCCCTACTACTTGTGGGGCGAAAGCCTACTGAACTCCTATTTCCTATGCGTTATGTTCAGGTATGCCCTCACACTCAACATAACCTGGTGTGTGAATAGTGCGGCACATTTGTGGGGCAACAAGGTATTTTAATATTTTATAATTAGTTGGCAATTGTACTCAATTTATATTTGTTACAATAGCCGTACGATAAGTCCATAAATCCGGTTGAATGTACAATACGTCACGTAATGTTTGGCGAGGGCTTTCACAACTACCACCACACATTCCCCTGGTACTATCAATATATTTATGCTAATCTGTATCGTATATATTAATAATAAGAGAATACCCCTAACTTATAACTGAACCAGGGACTATTCAGCGAGTGAGTTTGGGGCTTTGGACGTGTTTAACCCTGCTACCATGTTCATCGACTTCTGGGCCTACTTTGGTCAGGCGTATGATTTGCGGAAAGCATCCGACGATGTGGTCAAAAGTCGAGTGAAACGGAGCGGCGATTTGGGATGGAAAAAGAGTACAAAGGTGTTTGAAATACTCACAGCCGTGGCCACTATGAGTGCAATGTTCTCTCCCTTTCTCATCAGTTATGCCTTTAGAAAGGTCGGCCTAATGCAGTAGATGTGCGAGTGGTTTGTTTGAATCAATTAATAAAGATATGAAATAAATATTTTGTAATAATTTTATTAAAATTGATTTAAATCCACACTGTTCAAATATTTGCTGTATACAGCAGTTTATTAAACTTGCAGTTATAATTGTAATTTATCGCACAGTATGCAGCAGAGTGAAATAACTTAATCCCTTATTTAAAATAATAATTTTAATAAAGCCACCTTAACATTTAGTTAATATAGTTATGATCGATTGTTAAATAGTGTTTTGAAATATTTATATAAAATCTTTAAATAAATAAATGAAATTATTTGAAAAATAAAATAATTAATTAAAATTAGCAACATATTCAAAAGTACTATTGTTTGTACAGTACTACCGGTAATAAACTTTAATGTGTTTTATAAATTATCGTTTGCAAATAAAGTAATTAAATTGTAAATTATTCATTTTTAAATATTTAATAATAAATAAATTGTTTTTACAATTATTAGACAATTTAAAATGCAATTTTATTTAACAAAACTCTTAATTAAACTAATAATTTATTGCTTTAACTTTTTAGGAGTTCCCCTCTTATACGATTGCCTATAGAAATCATAGAACATATAGAAAAACAGTGGGTTCTGTCCGACGGCGAACCCGAACCACTCCATGGGATAACCGGTTTGCATGAAATACAGTACCACACCATAGCAGCCGCATATGAGGAACTGTAGTATTTGGCACTGGGTGATGTACTTTTTCCACCACAAGTATTTTTGAATGCCAGGCCCCAGGGAGGACAGGGCGTAGTAGCCGTACATCATTACGTGTATGAATGAGTTGAATAGCAGGAACATCCGGATGATGGGTATCATAGCGTTGTATTTGAACGATACCCACCCGAGTATGGGCACCACCGTGTGGTGGTATAAGTGGAGTGTTGTTATTTGGGACTCCTTTTTGCGTAATACAAAGAATACGGTGTCCATCAGGTCCATGAACCGGGTGATCATCCATAGCCAACCTTAATCATACAGTTTATGAATTAATTAGTTATATTTGTATTGTATTTAATAATTTAGTATAAAATATATACTGAATGAAATGTATATAAATACCTAAATTCATGAAAAACATGGTCCACTCAGAAGTGTCCTCACGGGACGGGTACGTAAAGTCTAAGAATATTCTGCCGTAATCTATGGCAATGACTGCCCAATAGGCGCCGACAGCATTGCAGACCACCATAACTGTGTTGTAGAATAGGATCAGATTCTTCATGACATACGGAGGTCTGTGAACATCAGGGACATTTAATTATTAATTAATATCAAATTGTTACTCACTTACCTATTTTTCATATGTCTGGGCAGAATGACCCTGGTAATGATTAGGTAAACGGTCATAACGAGTAGTATTTTCCAGATGCCCCCATTGAGCATGTACCAATGGTTGACCCGGGGGTCAGCAATCTCGTCCCAATAGTCGTCCAGGTAATACCATAGGGGTTTATTATTATAAGACATTATGGGTAATATAAATATAAAATATGACGAATATAAGCAAAATGTTAAAACCGAGTACAATGAATGAGCTGATTAATAGGGACGGGTATAAGAGATTCATTGAATAAGGGAATGAAATATAAGACTTTTTTGTATTATAAAAGAAAATTATATCTATTGTATGAAAATTAGTCTACTATTGACGTAAATCTCAAGTTAATAAGTGCATACAAGTTAGTGTATACAGGATTTGTTAATTTTCTAATACCTTTTATTAAAATATATTTTCCTTAAAAAATTTATCTTTTGTTAATTATAGTTATATTATAATTGATTTTTAAAATCTAATGTCTTGTTGATATATCTATTTTTAATGAGTGAGTAAAAATAAAATAAGGAAATAAATAAATGTTTAGAAATAAATTTGGCAAAGTTTATATCAACTAAATACCACTATATTAAAGTAGAATAAATTAGTTTTCATTTATCTAATCAAATTAAAAATTAAATAGATAATATACTATTCAAATATAATAAACATTATGTTTAATAAATAAGTCAAAGCAAATATTTTTAAAGATTTTTATAACAAATATGAAATTGGAAAAAGATACAGTATAAATTTATTAAAATTAATTTTAATAAATTTTAAAATCCCAATGTATAGTTTAAGACATATTATAGTAAACATTAATAATTTATGATATTCTCAATTCGATAGTGAGACCTTAATTAAAAACATAATGTTTTTGTATTTTCTTAAGTCTAAAAATTAATTTATAATAAAATTATTTATATAAGTAATGATAAACTGAAAATTTCATTACCAACATTTTCATAAACATTTAACATATTGATATAAAAAAAATTTTTAATTTTGATTTAGATTCTATATAAATCTATGCAATCATTTAGATTATACCCAGTAGTTTTGTTTGTCTAATTTATCATAATTTTATTTTTAGGTTTAAGTAGATATGCGTTGACAAAGTAATTAGTGAACAATACTAGGAATAGTGTGTAGAGTGCGAGGCCTGAGGTCACCACCGATAGGGACTCCAGTATTTTTGTATTAAATTACTGTATAATTAATATAAAGTCCAAAAATATTGGCTTAGTGAATCTTGAATTAATATATCAGTAACTAGAATACTATTTGAATGTGCGTTTTTTCAATAAAAATTAAAATATGTTAACTGATACAAAATATACATAGTGTTTTAAATCTTATAGGAAAAACACCCATTCAAATAGTGTTCTAGCTACTGATATTTATAAAGTGTATTATACTCAAAGTGTCCTAAGTCTAATAACTTATAGGTCAAACGTTACTTTGTATTTTGATAACTCTATTAATAGCAAGGTGGCATGATTAAATAAACATATTTTTTTGTTAAGCTATAAAAATTATATTTGTATTTTTAGATGTTCACTAATGTAATCAATTTTGGAAAACATAGTATTTCATGTTTTTAAACATAATTTATAATAAAACTCTAATAATATACTTATAATTATAACAACATGCTATAATTATAATTGAATCTAGGTTAATTCTTTCAAATGTGAAATTATATAATTAGATATAATTATAACGATCATATGTTCATAAAATTCAACCTTTAAAAAGGCAATTAGCAAAATAAGTTAGTCATAACATAAATTTATTTATTTAAAATAAGTTATCAAAAAACTGTGATTTATTTGAGAATAAATTTAATCTACTTTTTAAAAAAATATAATATAATTTTATTTTTATTTATTAGACAAAATTAAATTTTATTATAAAATATTTATTAGTAGTAGTAAAATAGTGAGTTAATTAATAATCATAAAACAATTAGTACATGTATTTAAATGGTGTTTTATATTTTAGTAGATATGAGTTGATAAAGAAATTTGTAAACATTAGTAGAAATAGTGTGTAGAGTGCGAGGCCTGAGGTCACCACTGATTTGGAGGCATCGCAAGGGATTCCAGTGTTTTTGTATTCAATTATTGTGTAATTAATATAAAGTCCAAAAATCATTTGAAGGATTTGTAGCGAAGTTATGGAAATACTGATCACAAGTGGTATTGATATCCGCATTGCTTTCAACGCATAATAGGTATACATAAGTGAATGTGCGATGAAATTCATGCCAACCATCCATCGGGCGGTCGCGGGAACGTCACCGAAAACATACCACGAATAGCATAGTGTTAGCACATGGTGTACCCAATGAAGTGTCAGCAGTTTGCCATTTCTTAGTAGTATAAACAGGGTATCGATTAACTCAATAACTTTAGACCAAACGAATAGGAGGTACCACCAGTTGAGTCGACTGTCCTTATAGTAGTCTGACTGACAGAATGAAGCCGTGAATCCTTTAGTGTTTAAAATGTGTACAAATTCTGGTAAACATCTGATGACTCCTATTATGGAAAATACGGCCAAAAATGAGTTCCAAAACGTTAATAGAGTTCTCAGATTATAAGGCTTTCCACGATATTTCATCCATTGCTTCAAAAGTGGAATTAATATTATATAACCGATAGATATATACACAGAATAATGCCAATTCTGTTGCATATACTCATGCAATGAATCGGGGTTTAGCTTATCAAACATCAAGTTATCAGTATTTCTATAACTTTGATACAAATCCTTCAAATGGTTTTTGGACTTTATATTAATTATACAGTAATTGAATACAAAAACACTGGAATCCCTTGCGATGCCTCCAAATCAGTGGTCACCTCAGGTCTCGCACTCTACACACTATTCCTCGTATTGTTCACTAATTTCTTTGTGAACGCATATCTACTTAAACCTAAGAATCAAATTAAAATCCGAGTCAATAATAATGTAACTGATAATAAACTAAATGACAAATTGTTAATTAACAATAATTATATTAATAGTAAAAATTAGTTTTGTACTTTAAATTGATAATAAATAATAAAAATAAAGTACAAGTTTGATAACTTTGCAAATTTTCTAAACTTTAATATTTAAAGCTATAAAGTTGGAATATGTTTGTAAATGAAATTAAAAATAAATCATTTTTTCAAATTACTATGCCTTGAGAAAATATGAATATATTAAAATATAAAGTATATTAAAATTTCCTGAGATTTTTATTTCAAAACAGATAAGCAATTAATTTAAAGTTTAAAACCTATCAATACTAACATGCATTTTGTGTCCTTGCCTTTCAAATACACATCAATATCTGTTATAATTTATAACTTATAAATTATTTCTATATCACACTTTAATGTCAACACATAATTGTAATTAATTTTGATTTTATCCTTATTTGTACAACAACTTAAATATTTTAAATTGATTTTACTACTAGTAATAAATATGTTTGAACAAACAGTTAATAATATAACGGTGTGTAATCCTCTGAACAATGATATCCGTTATAATAAATACAATATTATTGATCGAACTCAAGATAAATGGTCACAAAATTGGACACAATTTGCTGGATATCCTTATTTTCCTGGTGTTACTGAATTGGAAAATAAGTTAATATATTTCTTAGACTTTAATGATAATCTGGAGTTTATGCAACAGAAATGGCATTATTCTGTGTATATATCTATCTGTTATATCATATTAATACCACTTTTGAAGCAATGGATGAAATATCGGGGAAAGCCTTATAATCTGAGAACTCTATTAACGTTTTGGAACTTATTTTTGGCCGTATTTTCCATAATAGGAGTCATCAGATGTTTACCAGAATTTGCATATATTTTAAGCACAAAAGGATTCACGGCTTCA